CCCCAAAACCCCAAAACCCCAAAACCCCAAAACCCCAGTGAAGAATATATTAGTTGAAAATTATTATTGTTTACACCTAAATTCAATGTACTCATCCATCAACTCGATTGCTTTAGTGGCTAATGTAAAAGGATAGCTTAAATTTTGCTTCTGCACTGAGATATCCTTGTGAATGAAGCGTACTTTCTTACCAAGAAGCTTCAACTGCTTGTTTCAGTAGAACTTTCCTGAATATCTGTCATAAACTTTGTCGAATACTTTTACCAAATTGTCCATGAACATTGATGAAGGAGTGTTAAAGAAATTTTTCTTTCCTATGCTATTTTCAATTTGAATTTTCTCATAACAATCCTCCAGCGATTTACTGAAACCCTTAAATTTTCTCTTAATGATTCTGATGTACTTGCTCTCTTTGTCATTTTTGAACTCTCAAACGGATAGATGGCGTTTACTCTGCTTCTTATCAAGGATTAATTCAAAGCAGTGTTGGCACCAATATCCAATACTTTTCTGTAATATTTTAACCTCTGGAGTAGTGGAATTTCCAGTGTTTGGAGTTATTTCTTGAGGTTCGTTGAGTTCTATTTCAATGTATTCAACATCTTCATCTTGGAAGTGACCTCTTCTCACCGTTCTTTTGGTATAATCCTCTGTTGATTCAGCTTCACCACAATAGGAGCTTACTCTATCTCCTTTTATATTGTTGAAGCTAGGTCTCACCAATTGAGGGCGTTTTCTATTAACTGGTCTATTGTCCTTGTACTGAGGAGCAACGTAAGTCGGGAGTCTTTTCTCCGTATATAATCTTGCCCAACTATTATGAAATAAAATTTAAACACTTACTTTGCAACATATGTAAAAGTTCGGTCTTCATCAAGATATTCAGGGTACTTCCTTTTTGGAGGAGGAAGAGACTGTGGTAACTCAGCCTGCTCAATTCTTTCAGGGCTAGGATTCTTAACCTCCAGCTTTGTATGGTAAGTGGGAACATTAGTCAATCTTGCAGAAGTGGGAACTTTTGTGTTGAAATTCATACTTTGGAACTCTCCAGAGTTGTTCACATTATTTGATAAATTGCATTTAAGAGGGCTTCTGATGAATACATTAGCTGTTTCAAGAATATTCCCTTCATAACTGCTATCAAGCTTATTTTAGCTCCTTTCTTCTATCAAGGGAGACCATGTGAGAAGGAATTTTCTTTGTAATTAACCTCTTAAGCTTTGGGACAAGGTCGTTAATAGATGTATTTGGGCTTCATTCATCATCTAAATTAAAGTAAGATCTTTCTGTACAAGGCTCTGAGTTCTCCGATCAATCTGAAGATGACTTGCTATCAAGTTGAATTTTCTTCGTGACGACTGTCTTCTTATATTGATTTGCTACAAGATTACTAATTTAGCTGTACCCATATTCAATCTATTCTGTCTCCTTAGCTCTCTCGGCTTGCTGTCAGTTGCAAAATGATTTCTAATACCATAGTTTCTAATTCCATAGTTCCTCAGTCCATAATTTCTTCTGCTTGTCGAAAATTCTTCGATTCTTTTGGGAATTTTCCGGAGAGGTTTATTTCCCTGGATTAGGATATGGAAGTGAAGATTCGCGATAATGTGTGTTTCTACCTTTCTTCTTTTTCGAAATTTCAATCCGAGATGCTAAGTACTTCTTCATCCCGTTACCGGTCTAAACGAAGAATTGTAAAGACTTTCTCTAAATTGATTTCAAAAACTAGAAAACCTCGATTATCTTTTGAGATTCTTGAACTACTTCCCAAGGTGGCTTACCTGGTAACTATCGGAGGGTATAGAGTGTATGCTAGCTTCTTCCTCTACGACATTTCAGTCCTTGTCATGATGGGACTAAAGGGTGATATTTCTTAATTACTTTTAACTTTCGTCCTGACTTGCTGGTTATTGAATACTCTTCTTCCTCTATCTCCACTCCTAAGTGGTCCTTAAGCCCCAAAACCCCAAAACCCCAAAACCCCAAAACCCCTGATGCCATGTTCATAATTGATAAACTTCTCTTATAAAAATTTATTTTGAGATTGCTAATGAAGGGGGACTCATCATTATCAGAGATCAAGCAGACAGACCAAGCTACTTCACCAGTGTCTCAACAAGAAGATGATACCGCTTGTTCTACTAGCGATAAAGAGTGAGACACTACCTGTGCAAAGGCTGATGTACAGATTAAGACTAAAACCTTGCTAAAAGATGATGACAGCATTCCAAGTTTAAGTAACCCTCAAGAAGAATCTAAACAGGTTAAGGACTACTCGACTAGTAATGAAGAAGAAAAACTTACTTTAGCTGAACATGAGATTAGTCATGATAAAGAGATTAATGAAAGTGAAGCTGAGAATAGCAAGTATATCAATTGGGTTGAAGAAGCAGAAGAACTCAAAAGAAAAGGAAATGAGTACTTCAAAAACAAAGATTATGCCCTAGCCAGGGCTCATTACAGTAGGATCTTCCCTTATACAAAGGGATTGTATCAAAAAGAAGATAAAAAAGATTTAGATAGTATTGCCAACATAGCTGCCGGCCAGATTGACTATAAGATTTCTCCCAAAATTTCAGAGAAGGCAAAACAACTTGAAATCGATGCTAATAATAATCTTGCAATGGCTTATATGTGTGAAAAGAATTGGGACAGGGTAATCATCAAAGCGACTAATACTCTAGCAATAGAAGAAAACAGTAAAGCATATTATAGAAGAGCTAGAGCGTATGCTATGAAGAACCATTACCAAGATGCCCTTAAAGATCTAAATGAAGGATTGGAGAAGTTTCCTCAGGACTTAAAGATGTTCACGTCAGAAATTGCGAAAACAAAGAGGATGGAAAAGAGATTTGACCAACAAGAAGCAATCAGAATCTCTAAAGCCATGAACAACTAAGTAATAATTTCATGTTTAAGTAACTTTTTAGTGTAACCTCAATATTTACAGCCTATATTGGGGTTTTGGGGTTTTGGGGTTTTGGGGTTTTGGGGTTTTGGGG